GAGTGGTTGTAAAACCCCAGTGAAGTCAGACGGCAGTCAGGTCCATTCCCGAGTTACTACACTATTAAAAGTATTTCTGGCCATAAAATAAACAGACAAAAAGCATCCTGAGCAGGCTGGTGTGGAAACCTACGCGGAGAGCGGCGGAGGCTTTGTCACAGCAATTAGCGCTTGTGATGAGCTGCGGTGGAAATTCAAGAGTAATTTACGGCAGTGCTCGGGCAAGAGAGAGGCGCTGGCCACGGCTCTGCGGACAGGTGGGCGAGGTGTTTGTCATTTCAACTGCCCAAAGTCACCTCCAGCCCAGGCTTTCTTGGGACTGGTAAAGGTAAGATCCGTAAAGCTACCGATGCACGGAGCTTCAGTGTCCCCCAGAGAATGGGCTGGTTAAGGAGACTTGGGGCTCTGAAAGACCCTACAATGATCTGTCCCCATCTCCCCCTCCCGCCAACCTGGACCCTTCGTGCCCTGGACTACCAGTGCCTGGGTTCATGCCTTAGTCTCTAACCTCTCCTGGGATGCTGTCCTGCTCACCCCGCCTCCTCCCTGCCTTTTCCCTGCTACTGCTTCCAGCTCACTGCACTGACCTGTTAGTTCCTGGGGAGCTCACAGAATATGATGGGTCATCCGGGCCACGGAGCATGCCACGCTTTGATCCCCTGCATGGGGAGCATGCAGGGAAGTCGGAGCGAGAGTACGTAAGAGCCTGCCACTGTGCACAAGCACCAAGAGCACTATTTGGGGAGGAATTCTGTCATCAAGAAGGCCTTCCTGGGGTCAGCGCTATGGCGCAGTGGGTTAATGCCCTGGCCTGAAGCGCTGGCATCCCATATGGGTGCCGGTTCTAGCCCCAGCTGCTCCCCTTCCGATCCAGCTCCTTGCTAACGCACCAGGAAAGCAGCAGATGTCCCCAAGTACTTGGGCCCTGCCACCTGCTTGGGAGACCTGGGTGGAGTTCCAGGTTCCTGGCTTTGGCCTGGATTATCCCTGGCTATTTTGGCTGTTTCAGGGGTGAACCAGCAGATGGAAGTCCTGTCTCTCTCCCCTTCTCTCTTTCTGCTGTCACTCTGACTTTCAAATACATAAACTAGAAATCTAAGCAGTCTTCCAACTCCTTCTGTTTTATTTGTTTCGACAGGCAGAGTTAGACAGTGAGAGAGAGAGACAGAGAGAAAGGTCTTCTTTCCGTTGGCTCACCCCCCAAATGGCTGCTACGGCTGGCACGCTGTGCCGATCCGAAGCCAGGAGCCAGGTGCTTCCTCCTGGTCTCCCATGTGGGTGCAGGGCTCAAGCACTTGGGCCATCCTCCACTGTCTTCCCGGGCCACAGCAGAGAGCTGGACAGGAAGAGGAGCAACCGGGACAGAATCCGGTGCCCCAACCGGGACTAGAACCCGGGGTGCAGGCGCCGCAGGCGGAGGATTAGCCTAGTGAGCCGCGGCGCCAGCCAAAGTAGTCTTCCTGTTGAGAGGTGCAGAGGCAGCCATGAAGTTGGCTGGTGGGCATCACGCCGATCTCACCTCTGGGTGGATCAGGAAGGGGACCCAGCCTTGTCCAGGCTCTCATGACCAGCCAGGAACAGAAATCACATCCCTGGCCCGTGCTCCCATGGGCTGAGCAAGAGAACTCTCGGAAACGAGTATCAAATTTCTAAACCCTAGAGGTGCACCAGGGTCGGCATCCCTGGACTGATGGGAGCTTTGCAGACTCTGCTTTGAGAATGATCCACAACACACAGCTTTATCAAAGGAAAACGAATCCTCCACGCACGGCCAGCAGCTGGCTCACAGCTTCGGACAGGGCAACTGAGGACTGTATCACCAAAACTTGAGTCTTTCCATCGTCTTCTGGTTCCTTAGCCTCGTCTCAAAGTAACTCAAAGTTTGGTCTCTGGACCTGTAGCATCAGCCTTCCCAGGGAGCAGGTGAGAAACCTAAATTTGTGGACCTCATCCCAGACCGACTGGATCAGAATCTGCTGCCTAACAAGATCCGAGGGGTTTCCTCTGCACATAAAACACAAAATTGTCACAGGACAAGCTTCAGCCAAGGTGCTTGTTGAAAAAACAGTACCACCAACCCCCCTCCCCGGTCCCTCTCTGGAGATCCCCAAGGTGTTGGTTTTAGGGCGGGCCTGGGTGTTTGTGTAGGAGAGTGATGCCCACGGGAATGGCTTGTCCGGAGGGAAGCTCGGGCTCTCTGCTCTCACCCAGGTTTGCAGTCCTATCTGAACATTGCGATCACCAGGCGGCAGCTAGTTTAGCCGTCACCTGGGATACCAGATTCCACATCAGAGCACCAGTTGGAATTCTGGAAGCTCTGTTTCTGATCCAGCTCTCTGCTAATGCACCTGGGAAAGCAGCAAAAGATGGCCCAAGTGCTTGGACCTCTGCCACCCATGTGAGAGACCCAGACAGAGTTCCAGGCTCCTGGCTATGGCCTGGCCCAGGCCGGGATGTTACAGCCATTGGAGGGGGGGGTGAACCAGCAGATGATCTCTCTCTCTCTCTGCCTTTCAAATAAATAATAAATCTAAAAAATAAGAATACAAAAATAAAACCATACAAGGGTACTTTCATGGAAAATGGAATTAAAAGATAAATTTATTTGGGTGCAAAACATTTTTGAAATCATTGCATAGGGTCTTCAAAAAGTTCATGAAAATGCAACTTATAAAAAAACTGCATGAATTTTGATTTTTTTGCAGCAGAATAAACTTACTGCTTACTTTCTTTTTCCCAGAAGCTCTCTGGGTATTCTCGTACTGAGGATGGCCCTGTCAGTAACTGCACTCCCAGGCAGCTCCAACTTTGCTTAGCTTCTCCCCTGCCCCACCCCACCCAGGTGATTAGACTGTACAACCACAGCCTCCATCAGTGGCTTTCAGAAATGGAGGTTTGCATCTGACACACACACCACCACCACCACCCCCAGCTATTAACCGGAAGATGTTTGGGAACGCAGAATCCCTGCCTCCACATGCTGGCCTTGGGGGCCTGGTTCTAGAGGGCCTGGGCCTGGCCCTGCCACTGAGACCATCCAAATCCCAGACCCTCTGGGAGCCTCCAGACTATATTCTGAGTCACACAAATCGTGCTGCGGCTCGATGGAGCTCAGAACACGCTGCCCCAAAAGCTGATACCTTGGTACGTTGAATATTTGAGCTGAAGGAGCTTGAGAAATGGCAGGTGCATGAAGGGACCCTGGTCTTCCCCAGGCCCCTCTGGGAGAGCTGCCCTACCCTGGTGCTGCGAGGAAGGTACATTCTTGTCTTCAAAGACACAGGGACCCCAAGAGGGATCTGAACGAGCAAGCCTTGCCGAGTTTCCCCAGCTGATGAGCCGCCGCTTGGCCCTTTCCACTCCTCACCAAACCCAGGATGAAAGCACTGGGGTTTAACTATTTGTTCCGATCTCTGTTTCCTTATCGAGGCTCCTGGGTCATGTAAAACTCATATTAAATAAATGTGTATGCTTTTCTCCTGGTAATCTGTCTTTGTCAATTTACTTTTCAGACCGAGCCAGGGATCCTAAGAGGGCGGAAGGCAAGATCAGCTTTTCCCTTCCTTCCTTCCTCCCTCCCTTCCTTCTCTGCAGGTTGGGTTCCCCGGGGAAGCCGTCTCTGCGATGGAGAGGAGCCAGCGGGAAGTTTATTGCGGAGTTCTCTGGGGGCCGACCTCTGTGGAAGGGGAGGCGAAGGAAGCCACCTAGGCAGAGGGAGAAGTCGAGCCACCACGCAGTCACAAGAAGGGCTCAGCCAACCGAGCCGGGAATTGAGCCCATTCAGCGTTATCTGAGTAGAGGCTGACGGGGCAGGACTTTGCACTGCATGGCGATCAGTCACTGGGCGCAGCTCCCCCTGAGGGCATGCCCAGAAAACGCCACGGGGCACTGCCTGCTGCCAGCTGTTTGTATTAGTTGGGGCCTGCAGTGCCTCCCCTCCCCCCCGTAGGGGGTTCCTCAGAGCCTTCACACTGCTTACAAACACCGAGCCCCTTTACTGCGGAAAGTGCTAGCTGGCAGGAGTTTAGACAACCACGGTTTTGCACCACTCTAGCCTTGGCCTCGAGAAAATAGGGGGAGAGCTGGGGCTGCACCAGGGGAGATGGCAACTGGGCCGGCCCCATCCCCATGTTCGGATCAGGTACTGAGTACTGGGCATCTTATGGTTGATGATGGCTCCGAGTGTCTCTGAAATCCTTCAGCATAGCTGGTGTGATTTTAGGAGTTTCCTGAATCTAATAGAACCAGCAATGCTGAGCAGCGCAATCCCGAAGGGAAGCCGGGAGTCCGTTCCTGCTTCTTGCTGCAAGCCCTCTCGTCTCCACACCTGGAGCAACCCCTCGTTTTGCTAATTAGCCTCCGTAACGTCAGAGGCACGATCTCTCTCTCTCTCTCTCTCTCTCTCTCTCTCTCTCTCTCTGTGTGTGTGTGTGTGTGTGTGTTTAAATATTGGCCTGTTGACTGCTTGATGAATGTTGGAAATGAGTCCCCCTTGGTGGAAGTGAAGATTTTCACAAGCTAGGCATTGGCTTAAATCTTTGAAAGGCATACCACATGTTTCTTTCTTTCTTTCTTTTTTTAAAATATTTATTTATTTATTTGGAAGTCAGAACTACACAGAGAGAGGAGAGGCAGAGAGAGAGAGAGAGAGAGAGAGAGAGAGGTCTTCCATCCGCTGGTTCACTCCCCAATTGGCTGCAACGGCCGGAGCTGTGCTGATCCAAAGCCAGGAGCCAGGAGCTTCTTCTGGGTCTCCCATGCGGGTGCAGGGGCCCAAAGGAGTTGGGCCATCTTCTGCTGCTTCCCCAGGCCATAGCAGAGAGCTGGATCAGAAGTGGAGCAGCCGGGACTCAAACCAGCGCCCATATGGGATGCCAGCACTGCAGGCAGTGGCTTTACCTGCCACGCCACAGCACGGGCCCCAATACCATGTGTTTTCAGGAACAGGATAAGAGAATCCAAGGAGGTCTGTAGACTTTACCCTAAAAAAATCACAGGCAAAATCACTTAACACCCCACAAAGGAAGCTTTTCATGCCACGGAGTGGTTGCAGCACGATAGGTCACATGGGCAGCCTTTGCCCTTCCTTGCTGGCAGGTGAACAATTGGGAAATCTTGTGTGCGGTAGAGTTCCTTTCTTTGAAAGGCTTCGTGCCGAGTGGCTAACCCTCTGCACCTCAAACTTCTTCTGTATCTGCCCTGTTGGGGCCACCAAAGAACCCGGGAGTTGTCGCTCAGCCACACTGGTGGGTTTGTGGCTGGGCACTGTGCCAGCTGCTGCTTGCATGTATTTCATTTGATGCCCATCGAAACCCTCGGAGGTACATCCCGTTTTTTTCTACCTGTTTTATGAGCGAGAGATCCAAAGCTCAAAGTGCTTGAATAGCTTGCCCACCGTCCTCACAGCCAACCCAACCAGAGTTTGGATCCAGGCCCTGTGTTCTTTATGTCTGGTGCACAGTGCCTGCCGTGAGGCTGCCTGGGAAGGCAGAGGGGGAAGTGCAATGGGCCTGGGGCTTCCTGGTGGACGGCTCCCTCTTCCCCTATCCCCGTGGGCTAACCTGGCAGCGTAGAAGTAACCCCGCTCGCGTGTCAGTGTGGCTCGCCTCTAGAAGTCCCAAGCCAGTTCCCTCCTCTTGTGTTCCTTTCGTTTCCCCAATGCGAACCTCGTTTCTGTTCATCAGGCTGGTCAACAGGCCAACACTCTCAGCCACTAAATAAAGAGACAGGTAAAAATAGAGCAAAACTCATTTCTAACCCAATGGAGTCTATGACCTGGCTCCGGCTCCTGCTCTGTCATGCACCGTCCAGGGGCCCTCAGCAAGTTTCTTTTAACTTCTTCCAGGCTTTGCTTCCTTGCTGTACAAAGGACGTCGTTCCTCCTGAGGATTTTTGCACTGTATGCATGTGTTTTAAGAAGTATAAAGTAGGAAACCGAGGAATAATAAAAATTGGCTAAAATGCCCGCAGAGGAGGTGACTGCCTCCCACGCGAGAGCATCAGCAAGTGTGGGCTCTCTGGGGCTCTGTGTGAGCAGGCGTGCGAGGAGAGGGCTCAGGAATCAGCCTGCGCGGGTGGAGAACTCAGCGCTGCCCCCACGCTACCCCGCCACCCACACGTGCACACAGCCCTGTGCAGCTCCAGCTTCGCTGGGTCTCGGCTGTCCCCCCGGGGCCTTCTGGCCACAGGAGTGCGTGCAGCCCGCACCCCGGCTAGGCTGGAAGTGCCCCTGGCTGTCGCGCCTTCCAAAGCCTGCTCCTTGTGGGCTCCCCACGGTGCCCAGAGGGCCTGAGCCTCAGCTGTGCACGGAGATGACGCTCTCACCAACACACCCTGCTAGCATCCTTCCCTCCCGTTTCCCTTCCTCACCCCCTTCCAGTGCTCCCTGGGACCACTTCCCAAATGGCTGCACTCACATTCTTGCTTCTGGGCCTGCTGCTGTGGGAGCCAGCTCGCCTGATGCAGCTGCCCTCCCCCGTCACCGGCCAGCTTCGATCTTGGACGGAAGCCCCAAGTCCTCCCAGGGCTTGGCTGGAACCTAGAGATGCAGGCAGAACTAATGTCGTGGGCCAGTTGTGAAGATCCCAGAGCATACTCTGTAGATAGTTTAGAACAGCACGGGGCATACAGTAGGCACTCAATCAATGTTATTATTGCTCATTAGCATTATTGATAGCACCTGCGATCTCCTTGGCTGAGTCCAAATCCACTTGGAGAGCTCTTGGCTCTCGGACCTCAGACTTAATCTGGCCAAGTCCCCATGGTTATCTCAGGGAATCTAATTCATTTCTTCACTTAACATATATTTAGCAAATATCGACTGAACACCTGTTGTGTTGAAGACTCGGTGCTTGGGTGGCTCTATAGAATAAGATGGAAGTCACTGTCTCCAGGGACTTAAGACACGGCCACACACAGCTATAGCCTAGGGGAAACTGTGATAAGTGCTCTACTGTATGTGCCAATAAAGTGAGCACAGAGGGTGGAGGGAATTCTGTGTGGTGTGGAGGAGGAAGTTTCCTTTGATCCGGATTTTTATTATTATTATTATTATTATTATTATTAGTGGGTGGAATTTCAATAGAAGAGATGGAGGGAACAAGATACAGTCAGTAGAGGGAGGAGGAGTTATAAACACGTAGGAGGAGCCTGGTACTCTGCAGAGTTAACGGGAGTGCCATTGGATTGATGACCATTCATCTCTCGGAGAGCAGACTCTGCAAAAAAAAAAAAAAAACATAGATTATCCCTAATGCTCACATGTGTGTAGGATCTGCTAGCTACTGAGGGAGGTGTGCTACATGTGTAAACTCATTAAAGTTCTATTTATTTTCATCTAGTTGAATGGCTGAGGAGAGAGAGGGGGAGAGAGAGAGAAACAGAGATCTCCCACCTCAGTTTACTCCCCAGATGCCTGCAAGAGTCAAGGCTTGTCCAAGCTGAAGCCAGGAGTTCGACTTGGGCTGCCATCTGCTGCCTCGCAAATGCACATTAGCGGGAGGTTAGATCAGAAGCGAAAGTCCCAGGACTCCGGCAGGCATTGCCATATGGGACGCTGGAGTCTCAAGTGGCAGCTTAACCCACTGCGCCCCCACGCAGCGGCCCCGTGCTGACTCCTTGAATCCTCACCTTCGACATGGTCACACGATTCTCTCTGCTTCACCCACAAGGGCGCTGAGGCTGCAGGGGTGATGCCAAGTGGTGGCAGAGCTGTGCCACTCTACGCTGCCTCCCAAGTGTGGCGCCTTTGCGGGACCTTGAGAGAAAACATTGCCATCATGTAGAGAGGACTTGCAGGAGAGACTGAAAGAAAGCCCTGGAACCCCAGAGAGGAGGCCCATTGAGGCTAGATGGTTCTGGAAGTCCTGGGTCACCATGACGACACACGCCTTCGCCTGCCCACGGCCACAGGCTCCCAGTCCCCGGCTTTGCCTCTGCACAGGGTTCGCCTTGCTACAGTAACTGCAGGGGCAGCACCAGGGCTGGTGGGGGCTGTGGTTTGGTGCTGGGACCCATAGAGCTGGAGCAAGGGCACGTGTTTGTCCCTTTGAACTTGGACCCCCAAGGGCCTGGGAATAGGGGCTGACCCTGCTAGTCTGCTCGGAATCAAAGCAGGGCAGGCTTGCCCTGTTTGTTTCGGCTCCTCCAGGAGGGGAGCGGGGAGGAACGTGCAGTGGTTGCTGATTGCGCCGTGCCCGTGTGGGAGCCCAGTCAGTATTTTCCTACCCGTGCTGAGTGGACGCAGAGGGGGTCTCTGGGGCCAGGAGCAGCACTGCGGGGAGTCTCTGGTCTCTGAGCAGGGCTTGTCGGCAGCGACCAAAGCTGCCAGCTGACATGTTTTATTTGGCCTGCCCGGTGTTTAAAAAAAAATGTTAAGTAAATGCTGACATTTTTCAAAGGGGATGATTGTACATTCAATTCTACATTTCTGGCTTGTATCAAAGACAGGGAAGACCCCATACCCGAGCCCCGCAGATCAACAGCCAGGGGAGCTTAGCAGGGGCTGCCCTGGGGAGGGGGTCCCTCAGCTCTGTGACCTCTGGCCTCCCTGGGAAAAATGCCAGGAGGGGGCACCTTGGACTCAGCAGGCAGACCAGGGGGCCTCTGGGTGTGGAGGGTCAGGGAGGGGTGGCCAGCATGGGGCCCCCAGGGCGAGTGGGGCTAATGGCGGATTAAGCTGCCCATTAGGAAGCCATTAGCGCACGGCGTGTTGCGTGGCGGGGTAGAGAGAGGCTGAAGCTGGAGACAGGCTCCTGGAGTGCTCCATCCAATTTAATTCTCCTCCGTTTTTTAAACCCTAGGCAGATGAGCACAAGGCAGTAAATCATCCCCTCTACAATGGCTCATCATGAAAGATGCGCCGGGAGTTAGAGGAGGAGGGCGGGGATGAAGAGGCCGGGCGCGCCCGCATGATTGAAGCCAGGAAGCAGGGGGAAGCCAGGCTGGGCGTCCCTATGGGACACGCCCCAGGCCAGCCCACTGCCGGCCTCCAGGGTGTCAGGGGCCTACTTCCTGGGACAGGGCCTCATACACAGGGCCCTCTGCCTGGAGTTTGCCGGCAGCTGAGCTGTCTCGAAGTCCTGGCTCTGCCAGGTTTGGGCTGCGTGACTTTGGGCAAGTTGCTCGACCTCCCTGAGTCACAGTTAACTCATCTGTTAAATGAGGTCAATGTAGGGACAGAACCTAGCAGCTGGCAGGTATCCTGGTAAGAGAAAGCTGGAGAGGTGTGCCTTGGGCCTTGGTGAAGCTGCCACTTGGGAGACCCATATCCCTGTGCTTGTGCTGAACACCCAAAACTGGTTGGAGGTATTGCTGTAGAACCCCCAAACTGGGCCCACCCTCCCGACGTGCAGAAAGCCGATCACCGACATCGGGGTGGCGGAAGAAAGTAGGTGTTTTTTGCGAAGCACAGAGCAAGGAGCCAGACAGCTGTCACTTAATTCCTGGACTCCCGAGGAGTTAGGGGTGAAGGTTCTTATAGACTGAAGTTGGGGCTGAGAGGTGTACTCAGCTTGTGTCCAGGTTCCTGGTTGGTCAGTGGTGCCTGTGACCTTGCTTTGATTGGTCAGTGATGCCGTGCTCTGAAGGGAATTTATAGTGTCCAGGTGGGCTCCAGGTGGTCTGGGGGTTACATGAAGGTGGCAGCTACATTCTGCCCGGACCTGGATACCGGCCATCAAGGCTCTTATCTAGGGGAGATAAGACTCCCTGACTCTGGTGATTAGAACTTTGTAGGGCCAGCTGTGTCACTGACTAGCGAGAGTGTCAGTCAGTGAATTCCTTTGATAAAGGCAGGGCAAGGGCACCTTGGGCCAAGGGGGACAGACAAGAGCCTGGTTCCTGCTTTGCCATTATAGGGGCTTGGTTTCACCTGAGTTTGAGAGCTGGCCCAGCACCAGACTGCAGCTTCCTGCTAATGCACCCCCTCCCTGGGAGGCAGCAGAGAGCAAAGCTGGACGCCACAGCAGCCACCTACCCAGGGCTTCTGTTTGCTAAAGTAAGTCACACCCTGCGGTTCAGGTGGCAGCGAAGGCACACAGAACACACGTGGTGGCCCTCCTGAGTAAAGGCAGAGGACCCTGGGCAGGCCCCTCTGAGCTCCCGAGTGCTGCAGGGGTGAGGAGCGGCTGTCCACACAGGTACGCCTCAGGGCACAGGTGGGCAGTGTTCAAGTGGGAGGACTCGGTCACTGCCAAGGACAGGCATGCACAAGGGGCACCTCCAGAGCCACCCTGCGCTGGTTCTGGGCTGTGCTGTTGGACACGCTGTGGAAGCCAGCCACACCCTAAGGTTGTCCTCGGCCTTTGTCCCCTGCCCAGTGCCCTGGGAAACTGATCCCCGCAGTCCTTCACCTAGCCATCAGCTTCAGGCAAGGATGAAGGCGGCCTGTTTCCCAGGAAGGCTGGTGTGACTGTGGCGACCCTCACACAGACCCCCCCCCCCTTCCAGGAAGGGCTGGTGGCCTAGGGATCCGTCTCCATGGCAGAGAGCACTGTACCCTGATAACATGCCCTCCCAGACTGCACAGGTCCCTGTCTGCAGTGGGGATGCGGAGGCCTGGCATTTGGCTCGGGGGGCACACTAGGGACTGCACCAGGCTGCCCACCAGGCTGCCCACCAGGCTTGGCTGCTTTTTTTTTTTTTTTTAAGATTTTTTTAATTATCTGAAAGGCAGAGTTACTGAAAGGGAAGAGAGAGAGAGAGAGAGAGAGAGAGAGAGAGAGAAATCTTCCATCCAGTTCACTCTCCAAATGGCCAGGGCTGGACCAGACTGAAGCCAGGAACCAGGAGCTCTCCTACATGGGGTGCAGGAGCCCAGGCACTTGGGCCATCCTCTGCTGCTTTCCCAGGTTCATTAGCAGGGAGCTGGATTGGAAGCAGAGCAGCCAGGACTTGAACCAGAGCCCAAGTGGGATGCCAGCTCTGCAGACAGCAGCTTTACCCGCTGTGCCACAGCACCAGCCCCTTGGCTGCTCTTCCATCCCCGTTGGGTTCCAGCTTCTCCCCCAGCCCAAATCTACTCCCTCTCGTTTTCCTTTCACAGCTGTTGATTCCCTAACAACACCTTGACCCCAAATTCCATTCCAGAGTCTGCTGGCAGAGTGGCACCTGTGGCAGAGCTGGTGCCAGGGCTCAGAGTGAGGAGTAGGAACAGGGACAGGGAGGGAGAGGCAGTTTCAGTGCCGCGTGTGGTCTGAGATTCTGCCATGACCACAGGAGAGAGGACGCAGAGTCCCCAAGAGCTGTCCCTCAATTTCAGGGCTTCATAGGTACACTGGCCCAGAGGGTTCCCCATCTTCAAGGAAGACTCCAAGCACAGAGTGGGTGCACTAGAGGGGGCTACTCCAAGTGAGAGCTTTAAGGAGTTTGGCTGCAGCTGCTGCTGACTAGTCCAGGTGCAGGGGGCGTGGCCCAGGACAGCACAAAGCACTTGCTACCCCAGCAAGGAAGGCGCCAGTCAGGGGTCCAGGAGCTGGGGAGGGGGAGGAGATGAGGGTAGAGCTGCTTCAGGCACTAGCTCTGGCTTCACGCAGCGCTTCTAGGGGGCCAGCCCTCCTTGCCACCCAAAAACACGGCGCCTACCCCCCATCTCCTTTCCTTCAGGTGGTGGTGGGGGAAGGAGATGCGCATTTCCCTTGCTGGTTCCCAGCCGCCCGCACCTCCGCTAACAGCCTGCTTCCTCACTGAGGAATGCTGGACGGCATGCAGCGGGCACCCTCTGGCCCTGCGCCCAGCCCCCTCCCACTGTCACAGGCCTGTATCCGCCGACCCTTCGAGCCCCTCCCCCTGGCGCCACCCTCTGCGTCGTCTCCTCCACCTCTCGTCCTCTCAGCCCATCTGGGTTCCTGAAGCACCGACTGGCGTTGGAACCCGTTTCTTGTTGATAAATATACGCCCTCCTCCTTGTGGCTTTGCCTTTGGATTTGGAGGAAGAGAAGAAAACACCATTTCTACGAAGCCGTTACATCTTTTTCCCCCTTTCACAAACAGCGGTTCTATACACCAGAAGTGGTGCCTTTCATGACTATTGAATTCTTGGAAATGGGCTTCAAGTGCCTATTTTGGGAGTTAAAATCCGAGCGTCAGCTCTTTTCCCCACCTGCATCCCTGCTCCGCGAGGCTAAGCCTCTCCGTGTAGCATCCCCCTGGCTGGGGAGACGGGAGCTTGTTTAAAGGTGATGTGGAAAGAGAGGAGCACTCCGTTCGAGAGGTCCTTCTGACAATTCTTTTCAACAGGCAAGAGGCTGAGAGTGGTGACCGACTCTTCAGTGAATCCACACAGCTTCCCCACCCTGTCCACACACACACACACACACACTCACGCGCAGGCCCGCACACTCTGGAATTCCAGAATGAGTGCTCTCACACAGCATACATTGAGCACCTATTGCATGCCAAGGAGCCAGGTGTTGCCAGCAAAACAGCCGTGCTGCCTGCCCCTTGCTGTGGAGTTGGTAGTCTACAGCGGTAAGCTAGAGATGAACCCAATGGCCACACAAAATGCAACGTTTGCACTTGCTGCTACCCCTCTGCTTGGGATGCTTTGCCCTCTGGGGTCTGCGTGGCTCCCTCTGGCTTCTTCCGGGGCTTTTCTGAGTCATCACCCACCACAGGCGGCCTCGTGGACGGCCTCGGCCCCCACTTGGCTCACTTCCCAGCTCTATTTTTTTCTCTCTCACGTATTTCCCTGTCTATGGTTGGTGGGCCCCAAGATGGAAACTATGAGGATAGGGGCCAGCGCTGGGGCACAGTAGGTTAATCCTCCACCTGTGGCACCAGCATCCCCTATGGGCACTGGTTCTAGTCCTGCTGCCCTCCCCCCCTTTTTTTTTGACAGGCAGAGTGGACAGTGTGAGAGAGAGACAGAGAGAAAGGTCTTCCTTTACTGTTGGTTCACCCTCTAATGGCCGCCGCGGCCAGCGCGCTGCGGCCGGCGCAACATGCTGATCTGATGGCAGGAGCCAGGTACTTCTCCTGGTCTCCCATGGGGTGCAGGGCCCAAGCACTTGGGTCATCCTCCACTGTACTCCCTGGCCATAGCAGAGAGCTGGCCTGGAAGAGGGGCAACCGGGACAGAATCCAGCGCCGTGACCGGGACTAGAACCCGGTGTGCCGGCGCCGCAAGGCAGAGGATTAGCCTAGTGGCGCCGGCCCTGGCTGCTCCTCTTTCAGTCCAGCTCTCTGTTATGGC